TTGCCATTAGCTGGACCGTCTGGGCATTAATCTTAACTTTAGTCCAATACAGACGTAGTCCTCGACTTACGACCACAACTGAGACCAGAATTTCCATTGCTAAGCAAGGTGGTTATTAAGTGAGCTGCACTCGATTTTATGACCTGATTTGCTCCAGTGTTTAAGGCAAATCACCACAGCTGTTAAGTGAATCATATGGTCATTAAGCAAATGCAGCTGTTTCCATTGTTGGAAGCCTGCTGGGAAGCTTGCGAATGGAGATCATGTAAACCTGAAATGCTGCAACTTCATAAATACATGCTCGGTTGCCAGGCGCCTGAATTTTGATCATGTGACGGGGATGCCAGGATGGCAATAAGTGTAAGGACCAGTCCTTTTTTTAGTGATGCTGTAACTCCAAATGGTTACTAAACGAATGGTTATAAATCGAGGCCTACCTGTATATCAGAGAGGCATCAGCAAGAACTCCAGTTCTTGCTCACTTTCATCTCTGCTTTCTTTAGCCTTAGACTAGTTCAGGGGTAGGCAACCTTGGCTCTTTTATGACTCGTGGACTTCAATTCCCAGAATTCCTGAGCCATCATGGTTCAGCTTGGAAATCTCTCTCTTTCCCCTCAGCATGGCTGGCTCAGGAATTCTGGGAGTTGAAGTCCACGAGTCATAAAAGAATCAAGGTTGCCTACCCCTGGACTAGTTTTTCTCAACCTTAGTAACTTTAAGATGTATGGACTTCAACTCCCAGCATTCCACAGCCTGACTGTGGAATTCTGGGAATTGAAATCCACACATCTTAAATTTGCCAAAGTCAAAATATACTGCCTTAGCCTCGTAGACTTCCTGGTCCGAGTTTGGATCTCATTCTTTGTATATTTCTTCCATCTTTATTCCTCTTTTACCACATACTGCTGCCTCTGCCTCTTTTCCTCACTAATCTCTTCCTACTTTCCCAGAAACCTCTCCTTGAATGGCTTCTTGAACATCTTTTTTTTCCAACTCTTTCCCACAGGAGTCCTATACAACCAGTTCTTATCCCAGGTGGACTTTGAGCTGCTCCGTAACCATGCCAAGGAACTTGGGGTCCTCGTTTTTGAGAACCCAGCCAAGCGTCTCATGGTGGTGACTCCCGCCGGCCATTCAGACGTCAAACGCTTCTGGAAGCGTCAGAAACACAGTTCCTGAAGACATGGCTTGCACTCCACGTTCTTCTGAATAAGTTTGTTGGGAAGTGGACCAAACAAAAAGGCGGGAATATCTCTCCTCCCATTACTTTGAAATGGATACAAGATACAGAGAGAAGGAAAACAGGGATGCCTGCCTTATTATCCCTTTGGCAGCCAAAAAGAGATATGGAACTTAACAAAAAGGAACAACAAGAAAAAAAAGTTCATTGGTTCAGTTTAAGTGTCACCTTTCATCAACTCTCTCTGGCAGGAGTGACACCCTAACTGGGATAACATTGGCACGAAATAGGGTAGAAGTCCAATAAAATGCTTTGGGAAAATAGAAATAGCAGGGGCAAAGCCATCTCACTAAACTAAAAGGAACTACTTGAGGCCAATGAGTTGTTGATGCAAAGTTATTAAAACTGAAGGGATGTGTAATTCGTTCCCTGCATGGTTGAATACTGAATCTTCAAGGTGCAAGGGAGTTCTGGTATCAGACTGTCTACAACCTGGCATCATCCAACTATTTAAACCCTTGCTACTATCCTCCTGAGACCTATCTGGGGAATGATAGAAATTGGAGCCCACTACATCTAGAGTGCAGCTCGTTGGAGAAGGATATCAAAAAAAAAAAAAAGCGTTAAGCAATTATCATTTTTATTCTTTAAATGGCTTGACCCTCTCAGCTCAACGGGTGCAGAAAGAAGAGACAGTATTTCATTTTAGTTTTATAGAAGCTGCTAATGTGTAGGCTGCCTTGTTCTAATAAGGCGTGTGGTTTTTATAGGTGTAATTCAAGGTGTTTTTCTATCCATGTGTGAATGAAGACAGATCTCTATGCAGAAGCTGGGTTTACACATTGCATTAACCCATATTGTGATTAGTTTGGCCCTAACGTGATGTGTTCAGCACACCAAATCACTCTATTTTGATCTGGCGATGTGCCCAATCTGATATCAAGGGAATATCATAATCCATCATGGGGTTGCCATTTTTTTTTAAAAAAAACAACCAGTGCCAAATATTCAGATGTTTCAACGGGACTCAGCAACGTAACTCCAGCATGAAGATGCTGTGATTTCACTTGTTCCTGTTCTGCCTGGAAGGGAGACCATTGTTGAAGATAATCTGTTCACCAATCTGTCCTGTGTTGATGAACTTGCTGAATCCTGAACGCACAGTTGAAGCCTCTGTTCAGATGGACGGATCAGTCAGCAGGTTCCTCATTCCACCTCTTTTATCTGAAATTCAGATATTGAATTAAAACTAGCTGAGGAGTTGTGGGAATATCTTCAGGTTTTTATTCTTCATCCTAAATTTGGCATCTCCAAACATTGCAGAGGATGTGCTGTATTTTATACTTGGGAAGCTGTGCTAAGAGGCTTATGGGTGGTTGTAAAGAGGAAGTGGGAATCTTTTGTGTAAATCAAACAGACAAATACGATTTTTTTTTTAAAAAAAGAATAAACTATCTTGGATGTATTCCTGTACTCAGAAGTTTTGTTATTGCAAAGTAAAGAATAATGCTAGCAAATGGGGACCCAGATTGTTGAGGCAATAGGCTGACTCTGTAAACCACTTAGAGAGGGCTGTAAATCTCTATGAAGCGGTATATAAGTCTAAGTGCTATTGCTATTGCTAAATGTAGTAATTGCTAAAGATGAATAATCCAGAAGTTTTCATTCCAGACAGCTAATAAAATTCTTAGTTATCTCTGGCTGTCATAGACATAGGCTTTCTATCACTGAAAGGGAATTCAGTCAAATTGCTTTAGTGCAGTGGTGGCGAACCTGTGGCACGAGTGCCAGAGGCGGCACTCGGAGCCCTCTCTGTGGGCACGCACACTGTCGCCCCAGCCCCGCCTCCCCCCCGCAGCCCATTCCTCACCAACAGCCCCCCCCGGAGGAGAGTCACCCCTGGGTGCAGCCCACGCAGCCAAGCACATGGCAGCTGGGCAGCACATGATGCTGTGGGGCACGGGCGGAGGGTGTAGCCACCTAGGTGCTGCAGGGCTGCCTGGGTGATCTGCGGCAGGCCGTTGATGGCCCTGAGGGCGGGTGGGGTGAGGGCAGGGGCGGGGCAGTTTTGGGGCACTCGTCTCTAAAAGGTTTGCCCTCACTGCTTTAGTGAGTTTCTCCTATTGTGATGCACACTTAAAATAACTTTATACAAACTCAGAAGTTCCCAACTAGGCCAGTCTTTCTCACAGGGTAGCGGTTGTGAGGTAAATAGGAGGAGAAAGAAGTACAGGTAGTCCTCGATTTACAGCCACAGTTGATCCCCAAATTTCCAATGCTAAGCAGGACAAGTTGTTAAGTGAGCTTTGCCCCATTTTGCAACTTTGCTTGCCACAGTTGTTAAGTGAATCACTGCAGTTGTTAAGTTAGTAACCCGGTTGTTAAGTGAATTTGGCTTCCCCATTGACTTTGCTTGTCAGAAGGTCGCAAAAGGTGATCACATGACCCCCCCAGGACACTACAAACCATCATAAATACATGCCAGTTGCTAAGCATCCCAATTTTGACCACCACAGGGATGCTTCAACAGTCGTAATCGTGAAAAATGGTCCTAAGTCATTATTTTTGCAGTGCCCTTGTGATTTTCAACGGTCACTTAAAAAATGGTTGTAAGTTGAAGACTACCTGTATTGGATATGAGTTGTTTATAAAAATAAAGGCTGGATATAAATTAAATATTACTCCATGGAGTGGGCAGATCAAAGAGGAAAGGACCTCCCCACCTCTTCCGGCATCCAATGATGCTGGCATACTTTCCCACCTGCAATCTCCCCATAGCCTTAATCACAGTATTAAAAGAGGGGTTAAGGAAGGATCAGAAACCAGTTGCATCCAGTTGAATTTCGCATCCAGTTGCATTTCAGGCCAGTTTTTGAGTCGTTTTTGGATCCCAGACTTGGCGCCTTCTGTCCCTTTGGCTAGTGCCTGGCAGCCTAGTAGTGGATGCTAGGTAAGTGTGTGTGTGTGTGTGTGTGTGTGTGTGTGTGTGTGTGTGTGTGTGTGAGAGAGAGAGAGAGAGAGAGAGAGAGAGAGAGAGAGAGAGAGAGAGTTTGCTGTTATTTTAAATGCACCGGGTCTCTGTATTTTAAAGGACCATTTGTGCCTCAGTGCTTAGTTGATTTGGGATCGAGTGTGGCAGTTTTCCAGGCCAGTGAGTGTGTGAGTGAGTGACCATAAGCGGAACCTGAGAGCCCACTTGTGTAACAGGAGCAAGACCAGAAATCAGGTGAGTGTGGTCCATTGTGGAAAGTCACATCATTACAGCATAAAAGCCCCCAGCCATCTTTAATTTAATCAGTGGTGGTTCATGAACTTAGGCCTTGCTAGGTATTTACTTCTGTGCAAAATACTTTGCAGCTCACTATTGTCTATGTTGCATTGCACACAGTATAGCTACCTGTGTAGCAGCATAATAAAATATGTAACCTCAAAGGTGTGTTTCTTTGTTAGTAAACCCCGCGTACTGTTCTAATCTTTCCCTACATCTGAATTATTGACACGAGGCCTATTGTCTTGCTCTGTGGAAGGTGGTCCTCAGTTAATGACGGAAATTAGGATCTGAATTTCTGTTGCTAAGCAATGTAGTCATAAAGCATGACGTCACACAATTGCCCTACTTAAGTGACAGCAGTTTTGGCACTTCCCACTTGCCATTATTAAATGAATACTGAGCCATCATTAAGTGAGGATTCAGGTGGTTACCTCCCAACTGCTTCCACGTCATGGTTGTCCCAAAGGTGCTTTTTCCAAAAGGAAACTGGACTTTCATGGGTTTTTTTTCTTTGAAAATGTTTCTTTTCTCATCCAAGAAACTTCTTCAGTTCTAACTAACTGGTGGGGAATGGAAGGATTTATTTTCTATGCAGTGATCTGGTTGTTCGTTCTCTTGAGGGTCATTGAGGCCATTTGGGGATTTATCTATATCCTCAAGAGTCACCTGAATTAGAGTGCAAATGGGTGTGGAACCTTCTTGGGATTGCTGAAAGGACAGCATTGTAAAGAAGGAGATATCCCTCCCCCTCTGTTGCAAACCTGCACAAGAATCATTTCACAAGTTCATGGCACAACACAGGAGAACAAACTCATCAGGACAGGATTCAGCAATCCATCTGCACCTGAAAGACAAAGGTCACTCTTTTAAAGACAGTAAAGTCCACATTCTGGACAGAGAGGACCACTGGTTTGAAAGAGGTGCCAAATTAAAATTGAATACCCCCCCCCAACAGGATTGTCTCTTTTGCACAGGAGGTAGAAGATGTTTATGTATCTATCGATGGCCGATTTGTTACAGTGCCAGGCTTCCAGGAATTCTCTAGAATTTTTGGACCTGGCTTAGTCTACGATGGTCACAGTTTCCCAGTTGAAATTATGGTAAGTCTGTGCATAAATTGTGAAATTAAAGAGTTTTCATAATGTCCTGTGACTAGCACTCTGACAAATTGGCCACTTTTCTGAGAGAAAACAACCAAGGTCAGGGAGCACCAAGGACTCCTCATTTCAATCCTTAGCTACAAGTCTTCTCCTTTAAAGTAGAATAAATTGCTCCAGATCACTTGTAGTATCTCAAGTGAGAAAGCTGGGTGGATTTCCTCGATGATGTGTTATTTGCTTTCAGGTTCTTTAGTTGCTTTGAAATCTGGACAGATGTTGTAATGGCTCTTTTCAAGGCTGCAGGTTGCACACCAGAGATGGTGACTGTCCTTTGCTCTAGAGTTCTCTCACCCCATTTGAAGGAAGTTCTCTGCTTTTCCATCTCTTTGATCCTGGAGCCTTTTGCCAATATTTGCAGCTTCCTCCCCCTTTGTGGGCAGAATCCAGTGGGTCAATGGACCTTCGTGCAATATATAAAGGTGCTCTTTTCATGATCATTTTTTGTGAGCAGGATACAGCCTGGTCATCTCTGAAACTTTCTTCTTTCGAATAACCAGTAGTCCTGTTGAATCTGACAAGTGAGTAAAGTCTGCAGAATTTAAAAAAAAATATTTTTTTTCAGATAATTAGAAGATGATTTTTAGGAAAGGGACTAGAATATCTTTTTTTCTTTTAATTTAGGCTATTTAGGCTAGTTAATGCTATTCCAGGCTAAACATATGTAAAGAGACAACAGTTTCTTCAGCCATAATATGAAATGTCTGCTAGAGTTTGAGACATAGAGAAGGAGAGTGGGGTTTTGGGATCAGAGAATCCTGTTGCTTGAGGACAAATAAAGTTAGGTCTTCTTCAGAAAAACCACAGTGTCATGCTGCCATCTGAGCCTGAATCTGAGGAGGAAATGGAGCTGGAACAGGACCCTATGGAGGCAGAGGGAGAGGTGTCTGTGGCTTCAGAGGACTGTAGGGAAGAGCAGGCTGAGGCAGGCCAGGGACCTTCAGGATTGGAACAAGGGAGACAAGAGTTCAGGCGATGAGCAAAGCCCACCCCCACCTGATCCTAGAGCAAGGAGAGTGGAGAGAAGGAGGGAACAACCCAGGCAGGCTCAATTACTCAGGAGGAGAGCGTCCCACCCCATTCCACAAGGCACACCTAGGGATTGAGATTTAAGGAGATGCTGTGGGATGGGGCATTTGTTGGGACCAACACTGATTCATTGGAGTGTTGTGTGTTGTTGCTCTTGTTCTGTGCCTTCTTTTCGGAAACTTGGAAACCTTGACTATCAGACTGTATTTTGGATTCTTTCTTTTGGAAACTGCTCAGGCAAGCTCGGATTCAAACCGACTGGTTAAGTTTATGTTTTCTTCCTTGTTATCTCTATGGCCTTGACTACTTTCTTATGCTAATCAGCCTGTATTTGAACCTACTTTCAAGCAGAGTTGGCTGAAGGGATGTGTGTGTGATCTTTTGTTGGAGGCTTGCCAGCAAAGTGGGAACATTTGGGGAAAATTGGGAGCAATAAAAGAACTGTTTGAATTGCCAACTGACTGCATTGCCTCTCTGCTGGCTAATATAAACAGAGATGTTTATATTAGCCAGCATAGAGCACCTGCCAAGGAAAGTATGTGTGGATGGGAAAATATTACGGTTAGGGCAGAGTTCCACAACATTTTGGCTTTGTGGATCAGTGGGGAGGGGGGAGAGGGGATGGATCCATATGTGTGGCAAGCATGCATGCTGCTCATGTGATTGGGTATGCACACATGTACACGCACTTGCCTGCCACTTCCGCGGCCCAGTTCTGAAAGGTTCAAGGCCCGGTAGTGGACTGTAGCCCAAGGATTGGGGACCCCTCAGGTTAGGGGAATGTAGCTATTCTAAAAAATATTTCTGAGGCTGGCCTTTTTGTGAAAGAAAATACAGATCAGCTTTATTTAGGAAATCCCATGGTGATTAGAAATCCTGAGTTGCTGGTTCAGAGACAGAGGATGAAATTCTGCTCTTTATCTTTTCAGTTGTACCTGACTTTTTATAACACTGTTTCTCAAACTTG